GGACACCTCCCTTTCCAGCTGCGTCTTCTGCTCCTGCCCCCGGAGCAGAGCTCCCACCAACTCCGCCTTCTTCCCAACTCCTCCCCCGTTGTTGCCAGGAGACTAACTTCGGTCGTTAAGAGCCAGGCCGACTCCTTTGTTCACTTGATGGTTCTTGAATAGCATTCATGCAGGGGGGGGGGAGGGGGAAAAAAAGGGGAAAGGGAAAGAAAAATTCCTTTCTAAAATCAGAACTAGGACAATGATTTTTGACAGTAGTGTGTAGAGGGCAAATGAGGAGAAGGCAGATGAGGAAAGTTGTAACCTTTTTAAGTTCTCTGTCAGGCAGCTGAAGGTCTGCACACAGTTATAAAAGTGTGACTTTGCACAGTGTTTTCAGAAAGGTGTGGTTTGCTGCTTCTCCCAGCTTCTCCCTTTGCCTCTTACTAATTCATATTTTTTTATTTTTTGAAGGACCTTTTGTACTAACTGAACCATAATTTCTGGGTTTATTTCTTTTTTTTTTCTTTTTCACTGTCTTTGACAATAATTATTCCAGTGTCAAGAAGTCCTAAATATTTTTCTGTCTTCTGAGAGTTTTAATACATCTCTAACAAACCGCTGTAAAACTCTTTTTACCTTCTCCATATTAACTCACCAATTTGTGTCTTATGACACCCATGTGACAGCCCAGAACAAAATCTGTGGAATACTTAAGACCAAGTTTCCCATAAATTGCACTGTTATTAAGAAGGATTTGTAATTCCTATTTGATTTGATATGCTCAAACATTTTTCTGAGCTCAGATAATGAAGGAATTTGTTAAGAACAAATTAGTCATTTCTGGTAAAGCATGAGACAACAACCCACAGAAGAGATTACCATGTGGCGGGAATATTCCTTCCAAATATTTTTATTTTTACACGTGCAAGTGGCTTTGTGTTTTCAAATATGACAAATTCATTCAGTAACAACTGGTCCTATTAAATAATGATAAAAACTATTTCTTGGGGGAAAGGGTATGGTTTGTGTCAATGGTCACAAATTTAAACCTAGTGCTCCAGTTCTTTCCTTGGACACAGGTTTCCCATAAGTCTCTAGTCAAGTCACCCATGACAAAATTTCATAAACACCTGGGCATTTTGAGCCTACCAAATCCATTCTCAGAAGTCATGTAAACAATAAAACTGAACCAACAAAGGAAAATATGCTATATTTTTCAGAATGTGCATTATGGAGCAACTGGAGCTAAAATACACATTACAAACTGACTGTCAGAAAAATCCCACTTATTAATCACACCTTTGCAGGACTGTCCTCTGCTGTATAATGTACTATCCAGATGTGTGATATTTTGAAATATTTCTGATATTCAGAATGGCATACCCGTATTAAACCCTCATCCCTCACCTGCAGAAAAATCAATGGCTCACTGACATTTATGACTTTTTAATAAGAACTGTGCTTTTATGTTATTTTATTCTTTCCACTGAAGAACAAATCTTTTCCTCAAAAGTGTGAGTTCCCCCACAATGCATTCATGGGGGGTTTTCTGTGTTTAAATCTCATATTTTAGTCCTGAGATTAGTGCTTTAAAATATATTGCCAAAACTGGTTAATAAAACATTATGGAGCCAAAGCTTTTATTTGCATCAATAGATATTGTGAAGCAGATGGTAGATAGCTTATCTCCAGGTACTAGATCTGATTTCTTATATACTCTTGAACTTGTAGGTTAAAGAAGAATGTAATAGCGGTTCCACAGACAGTTCAAGTCAACATTGGAGTAGGGAGAGAGAAGGCAAATCTAATTTCTCTTTAAGTCCAGCTCTGAGAGCCCAGCACAGCAAGGACATGGAGATGCTGGAGTGAGTCCAGAGGAGGCAACAAGATGATTAGAGGAATGGAGCAGCTCTACTGTGAGAAAAGGTTGGGAGATTTGATTCTTCAGCCTGGAGAAGGGAAGCTTTGGATGACCTAATTGTGGCCTTCCAGGACCAGAAGGGACTATAAGGAACATACAGAGAGATATTTACAAGGACCTGGAGAGACAGAACAAGGGGGAATGCTTCACAATGACGGAGAGCAGGGTTAGATGGGATTTTGGAAAGGAATTCTTGGCTATGAGGGTGGTCAGGCGCTGGCACAGGTTGCCCAGAGAGGTTGTAGATGCCCAATCCCTGGAAATGCCTGAGGCCAGGTTGGATGGGGCTTGGAGCAACATGGTCAAGTGGAATGTGCCCCTGCCTATGGCAGGGGGTGAAATGAGATGAGCTTAAGGTCTCTTCCAACCTAAACCATTCTATTATTCTATGAAATTCATTTGTATGAAAGTGGAAAGATTTAGACGGTACATTTAACTTCAGAAGTAGTGTGTAGGTCTGGAGACGGATTTCCTCCAACAACCACATATTACCTTTTCTTCTTTAAGCACTCTGGTTGTTTTTATTTCTCAAAAGAAAAAAGAAAGAGAAAGAAAATAAAAGGAGAAAAAGTGTACTTCTTATTACTGTGTGGCAACATAATGAAAATGTTCTTCTTTTATCTTCACAGTAGACAACTGTAGCTAATATCCTGTGTTTTTCTGGATTCAGTATCATTCTGTGGGTATATCAGATATGATGAATATGTTGACTATTTTGTACCCAGCCCTGGCATTTGTCCGTATTTACTTTATTACTTAGGGGTCTCTACATGTTTATGTAACAGCCCTATTTTTTTTCCTTTTTTGACCATTGAGCACTGCACTTCCATTGATTCTCAACTTTTCCACACATTTGCAGTGGCACTGAGATAATAAAAACTTTGCTTTACTACTATCAAGAATCTCCAAGAAATATATATTGCTTTTTGTTTTTTTTTTTACTCTAGCCTGTCATTAAATATTCATAATGGAATTACAAAACTTCTACTGTTCATTAGCAAGCTTTCTGATTTTAGGCAATTCAAACACAGGTTTTAGTTTTGGTACTGATTTTATCCTTCTGTCAAGCAACTTGCTTTAACTTTACCTTTCCCTAGTGGGTGCACATGTCCAAACTAGCGGAGTATGGTGTTACAGTGGGAGCTTGGCTTTCTTTTTTTCTGTCCACTGTATATGCAGGTTGTGCAAATTTGTTATTGTGAAATGTGAGTATCAACAAAAATATCAATATTAATTAATGTTTATTTTTACCGCTGTATGTCTCATGACTCTCCTTCTCCTTGCACTCTTGAGAAAACAAGAATACTGGGGTAGAACTGCTGAATCCATCTTTAAAAATAGTTTGCTGTTGACACTTAGGAACACAGAATCATAGAATCATAAAATCACAAAATCATAGAATGGTTCTAATCGGAAGTTTGTAGTTTTTCCAGTTCAACACAGTACAATAGGAAGGAATATCTTCAACCAGATCAGGTTGCTCAGAGTCTTGTCCAATCTGATCTTCAGTGTTTCCAGGGATGAGACATCCACCACACCTCAGGGCAACCTGTGACAGGGCTCCACTGCTTTCATCATGTTCCCATGTTCTCAGTTCTTGAGCTTGTCTAGCTCCCTCCTTCCTTCTAGCTCCTAGCCAATGGAAATTCCTTCAGCATGTGTCACCTGCACCCTCAGCCTGGAGTCAAGTCTGTAGACTTACTGAGTGTGCACTCAATCCCTGTCTATGCAATTGATGAAGATAATAGAGCACTGGTCCCAGTGTGGGTCCCTGAGGGCACCATTGGTCCCTGATGTCCATCAGGACTCTAAGCCGTTGACCAAACCCTCTGGACATGATTCTCACATCAGTTCCTTATCCACTGAACAGTCTGCCCATTAAATTCTCCTCTCTCCAAGCTATAGAGAGGGATATTGTGTCAGATCATGTCAAAGGCTTTTTAGAGGTTCATATGGATGGACTCTTATCCACTGATGTACCTACATCTCATATGATGGAGCAATTACTTCATCATCAGAAGGCCAGTGGGTTGATCAGGCAGGATTTGCCCTTGCTGAAACATTCCTGGCTGTCCAGTCACCTGTTTGTTCTCCTTGTGTCATAGCTCAGCCCCCAGGAGGGTCTGTTCCATGATCTCTCCAAGTGCAGAGGTGAGGTTGACAGGGCAGTAGTTCCCAGGGTCCTCTTTTTCACACTTTTTAAAGGTGGATTTCCCCTTCTTTCCAGTCATCTGAGACTTCACCTGACTTCCAAGACTTGCCAAATATCACAGAGAGTGACTTGGCAGTTGCATCAGCCAACTCCCTCAGGACTCCTCATCAAGTTTCATAGACTTGTGCACATTGAAGTTCCTCAGGTGAGAGAACTTCTCCCACACCTTCTGCTGGAAACCTGTGTGTGAACCTTTTAATGTCAAGGTGGTAGCAGCACTGGGCAGCTACACAGCCCTGAATCAGGTCTTAGCATGGGAATGTATGTGTAAATGTAGCCTTATATCTCAGATTTTTATAAGAAATTGGAGCAAGGTATTTTGCAGTTCTTTTTTTGTTGTAAAAAAGTGATTGGTATACTTTTCTTTTTATTAAAAAAAAAGGTCCCCCTGAAAGGTGAAAATAAGGTAATTTCTTTCAAACATATGATAGAATAACACACAAAAAAGGCTATAATTATCTTGATTACAGTTCATTTCAGCCTGGGACTACCAGGACTGTTATTTCCATCTTCATTCTGGCAACAAACCAGCATGTTTGTATAGTGGTAAGGGAGAGAAATGCACTGGATATAAAATAAAATACAGTAGTACTGCCAAGGAAACTCCAGTTACAAAGAATTATCCAGATGACTAAGAAGATGAACTAGATGAAGATGTTGAAAAATATTAGGCAACTGTCTAGGAAAAAAAATGTAGCAAAGCATAATACTTATATGAAGCTGATATTAAGGCAGGAAGATGAAGTAATTCCAGTTATTAAGAGAAAAAAAAATCAAGAAAAACCCCAAGATGGACATTTTTTTAGATCAATACTCATTTTTCTGATAAATGATTTAATTTTAGGCATTTTGTTTTAGTCAGAGAAATCTAGAAAAAAAAAAAGGAGGGAGTGAAAGAAGAAAATCACATTTACTATTGTATTTCTAAGGAGTTTATTCTACATTTGATTTGACTATACTAGAGAAAAGGAAATATTTCCATGGGAGATTACTGTCTGAAATTCCTTTACAGTGAGATTTTCTGTTTTCTATTTATACATCTATTTTGTCACTCTTGTATAGAGGGTTCAGAGGTAGAGCAGATGAAGGAAAAGCACTGCCTTTTGACATTGTTCCTGGACACCAGGATTTGAACACTGCCCATGAAGATAAACTGATCCAATAAAAATATTCTTACAGGAACTTTAATCTACTTTGCTGGAGTGCAGGTATTTGGAAATATTTTTCTGAAAGAGTTACCTTAAAATGACATTTGCAGAGACTCCACTTTCCATTAAAACAGATGTGAGAGCTACAGAGTAATGGGTTGTGGTGTTAAGTCCTCAGTGAGTCTGACTGGGCGAAATCTTAAGGTCTTGATAGGATGTCTTGTTTGTTTTGGTGAATAATGACCAGAGTTGGAAGGAGTGGAACAAATCGAAGGAATAAAAAATGATATGATTTTTCTGAAGGAGGGAGACAGTATTTGAGAGAGGGGGGTTTTCATATTAATTATGTTGTACTGATAAAAAATAACTCTATTTCCTGACCTTGTGAAATCACTGCACATGTATGTATGAGACATCCATTTTCACTCACTGATCTCAGATGCTGTTCTCCATCATCAATATGCAGCATTCTCTAAAGAATGATTCTTTTTAAATCCACCTACTTGTAAGATTTCTTACTGCCCTTATTCGTTTTACCTTTCTCCATTTTCCACCGATTAAACCAGGCTTGAGGTCATGAACTTGGGTACAGGTGGGAGAAATCTGTTTTAAAGTGAGTTTACCTAAAGTCTGCCTTCTTTCAATATTTTTGATATCTTTGCAGATATTAGCTCTGTGAAGCTGAAATAATTTTAAAAGTCATTCACATTAAACTCACCATTTATCAAGAAGTTAAATCTGTAATTACTTGGCATTCATTCTCACTCTTTCAAGAATACAGTAACTTTTTATATTTTAGGAAAAAGTTTCAGTAGTCTGGACCAAACATTTTGTTTTGCTTTTCATTTTGGTATTCCTCTTTATGATCTATGTATTCTGCTCAGAATTGCCTCTCACCATCAATATGAAGACCTATTTTGCTACTGTTACTCTTGTGAAAAAAAAAAAAAAAGAAGAAAATCAATGTGTATGTCTGTGTAATTCTGCTTTCAGCACCCAGTTAAGTTCTGGTTTTACTTTTTTTTTTCATACACAACTTCATTCAAAGAAAATAAGGTTCATTCTTGGCTCCTTCACCCCTCACTTCAAGAACTCAGGAGAAGCAGCAAAAACCATCTTTCCTCTGAAAAGCACAGTCTATAAGTTTCTACTTCATTCAATTCCACACAGATTTATCTCCACAGCAAATAATCAGAATTCATTTCTGAGATGTTTCAGACCTTAAAAAGATTTGCAGCAGTTCCTCTCCTCAGCCCTTTATTTTTTCCCTCATATTCCCTGTTCCTATACTCTCTGCACTCCAGAACAACTCAGGTCCTGAAGCAGTCATTTTGTAACAACCTTCATTCATGTGTGTAAAACAAGTGATTCACTACATGGAGTTTAAACTAAGCCACTGTGGATTTTTCCTAAGCCTGGCATGCAAACTAAAAATCTATATTTCTGAAAACTGGGTATTCACTTTTGCATCCATCTCTTTGTAGATGCAAGCTTGACACTGAGGGTTTTTTTCTTTTCCCCCCTCTTCTTTCAGCTATGAGAATTCTTCCTTTTAAGCTGGCTAGTCAGATCTAGATTTGGCACTGGAAAAAGAAGCATAACATGTATCATAAGCTCCAACTCAGCAGCAAAGGTTTATGCCAGAGGCAAACCTGCAGGCACAAATAAATAACTAAATTCAAGAGTCCTGAAATT